GTGCCGTGGCCGGGCTGTCCCGGGCCTGTCGTCGGTGCCACCGGCACCGGGATGAGCCGCCTGCCCACGCTGCCCGGCTCTGCAACAGGTCCCTGCTCGCCGAGCAGGGGCACGACGAGCATGGCGAGCATCACGCCTGGCAGCGCCATACCCTGCATGAAGCAGGGGGAGGGGTGTTTTAATAATGTGCTAATTAGCACCGCCAATTAACTCCGGCAGCGAGCAGCGCTTCCCGGAGTGGGAGCCAGTGGGTCAGTGCAGGCAGATGGCACCGGGCTGCCTGCTCGGGCGCAGGCTCTTGCCGAAGGAGAGCCGCGGTGCCCGGCGGGCGCTGGCAGCGAGCCCTGCCTGCGGGAGCCCCCAGTGCTGTGGGCAGGGTGGCAGAGTCAGGCCCCTCTCCCAGCTCCCAGGGAGGAGGGCGATGGGGATGCCTGGCCTGGGTATTCCCCCCAGCTCTGGCAGGGAGGGCGAGGAAGCGCTGCCCACTGGGCCGGACGATGCCAGCGTTGCCCCCATTTTGCAGAGGGGCACAAGCGAGGCTCGGTGGGCACCCAGGGCCGGCCCCAGCATCTCCAGCAGCATCGGTGCGGAGACACGCACAGTCTCCATGGAGACCGGCTCCCCTAATCTTGCTCAAAATGATGCTTATTTTGGGCAGGGCCGAGGGGAGATGCTGGGGACCCACACGCCTTTGCCAGCTGCCTGCATGCCCCCCTCCCTGGGTCTGGCCGTACCGGGGTGCGGCAGGGGCTGCTCTGGGGCTGGGTCTCCCCACGCAGCAGGTGCTGGGTGATTCAGCATCAATGCTCATTTACACAGTGACTAACGAACCTCGCTCCGTGGCGGCAGGGCTGAGCAGGCAGGTGTGCGGGCAAGAGCCCATTGCAGCCCCCTCCACCAAACCACAGCCCCGCAGCCAGGTCACCCCAATGCATCCTCCCTGCCGGCTGCAGCCCCAGACCCATGCAAGCAAGAGATGCTGCCCTGAGCTGAGTGTGCCAAAACCATCCGCCACCACCATAATCCCTCGGCAATGCCATGGATGAGCAGGGATCCCGGATGGAGGGCTGCGAAACTGGGCGCCAGAGCTCTGGAGCAACCCTCCGTGTCCCTTGTCCCCAGCCTGGCGTCAGACGGGCTCAGTTCATTCACATATGGCCAAGCGGCGCTGCCAATTCCGGCACAGAAAAGGCGCCGGCATGCTGAAACCCATCTCCCCGGGGTGGCAGGGCCGGAGGCAGCTGCATGCAGCCGGGGGAGCCGCTGCCCCCCGAGGATTGCCCCCCGAGCCCCGGGCATGCCAGCATCCACAGCAGCAGCTCCTCCGTATTGAACGGGCAAGGCAGAGCAAACATTTTGGTCGCTGCCCCCCCACCGCCCACGTGCCACAGCCATCGAGCCCCTTCTGTGGGATTCGCTGGGTCCCCGGGGCCCGGCGGGTCTCCTTGGGGATGCTCTTCTCCCCCAGTAGGACCCAGTGCCTAACCAGTAGGCAGTCATCTGGGGCGCTAGCATGCATCACCATGCGAGTCTCCTGTGCTTTATCAACGAGATCCCGCAGGCATTGATCTCCCCGATGCTTTTCTCCTGTTGAAATATGTGTGAAAACCATCACTGCCTCTATGGGGGGGTCCCTGCATCAGGGTGGGTGCTGGGGAGGGGGATGCACCCCAGACCGATGGGCACTGACAACCCTGCCGCACCGCAGGCAGCTCACCCTGCGGTCGCTGTCGTGGTACCTGCTGCCGGCAGTCCCGTGCCTGCCTGCAGCTCAGTACTTTTCCAGCTATGGATACCATATGCTCCGTCCCCATCCCATCAAATCCCATCTCCAACTTGCCTTTGAGACCGAGCCAACGGCCCCGAGTCCACCTGTCTTGAACTAATTCTGTTTCGGGACACCGTGTTCTCCTGATTTTCTATAGATCGTGTTTACAATGCCACAGCCGGGCAGCAGCAGTTTGTGTTTATGTCAGCCCTACAGAAAACAAAAGCCCGGGGTCGCTGCCAGGGCTGGACTGCAGCAGCTCACCCCACCCTGCAGACACTCCTGTCTTACAAGCCCCATCTTTTTCCCCGTTTCATTAAAACCCAGAGGAGTATCATGTTTTCTATCTGGAAAATAAAGCACAAGGAGGGAAGGAAGTGTTGCTCACACGCTCACACCAGCAACAAAGCTCAAACTCTCCCCCTTTCATCTTCATGTGGCCACTTCAAAGTCCCCAGCCAGGGAAATATTTGCCTCCGTTGGCTTGGCCCCGGGCACGTGGGTGGACAGAAGCATTTGGTGTTGAATGTTACAGCCCTTGTGAGCTCGGGGCATGTCACGCCGTCAGGAGACACCCGGCACCGGGGCCCACGGCCAAGCTGTGCCATGGGAACCCAGCCGCCCGGCGAGGTCTTGGAGGGTCTCGTTGGGTCAAAGCCATAAAGCTGCTGCTCCGGAGCTGGTTTGAAGGGGGGGGTCCTTCCCTTTGCCATGGCATGACTTGTTCCCAGCAAGGCACCCGACGTGTTCACAGCTCATTGTCGCGCTGGCTGGTGCCACTTGTCACACACACGTCTCACTTTAACCCCCCTCCACTTTCTCCAGGACCAAAAAAAGGGAAAACTAGACGGTTTTGCACCCGGGGCTGCCTTCGAGTGGCGGGTTTGACCTGGGGACAAGTAACCCCAGAGCCACAGCTCCCGGCACGGTGCCAGCCGCTGGCTGCCTGCGGCCAAGGGCAGAGCCGACCCCAGCCTCCCAGTCCCCGTCTGCCCTTTTCCTTGAGGGATGCACGCTCGAGCCCCATCAGCCAAGCATCGC